TACGTGTGTGGTGTGTGTGTGGGTGTTGTGGTGTGTGGTTATATATATATATAGATATATATATATATATAGATATATATATATATTATTATAATATATATATATATATATATATGCAAATCACATATTACTCTCCACGCATTCTGCAGTACAACGGCTACATCATCAGGCAAACGAACACACACCCATTGAAAACTGTTATGGTTTAAAGATATAGCCAAGCCCCCGCATCACTGCATTCTGAGAAGCGATGCTGTGACGTCATCATGCGACTTAATAATATGGCACCAATGCTAGGACCGCGTTAAAACACCGTTTTTTGCGGGTTGGTTCAATCATGCGTATTTTCATTACCCACTTTTTCAGATCTAGCACATTCAATGGAGCATTTTCAGCTGGAAAATGGCGCTAGCTTGCACCAGAGCTACAAAGTAGTTGCTGAAATGCGCTACCGGCCTGCCCTCAGCAGATAGATGGGGTAACCCATTCACTCATTCACCAGCGGTGTATCCCAGGGAACTCTAGCCGGAAGGGCTTGCAAACGGTCTGTGTACAGGAGTGCAGTTTACACAAACATTGGGTGAAGATAAGAAACGGCCGTCAAGACGGGCTCGCAGTACCCTGGGACGCGCATCGAGAAGTTGGAATGCACATCCTGTAGCCTTAAAAGGGGCGTTGCCGGGATGTATGCAGGGTTGGCTTGTCATAATGGGGTCAGTGAGGGGTGAACTCCGGGAGGTGTAAATGCAGAGCACTCCATTTCAGTTCAAGATAGCAGCTTTTGCTGTAAAACGGGATAATTTCTGACAAGTTATGCAGTTTCTGCCAGTCAAAGAGTGGTGGCCCATATCTCAGCTGGGAAATAATCTTGGCGATATATAAGGACAGCCCCGGCATCATTCCCTGCATACATTTTTCACATAGCCCATTCGACATTATGAACCTGCAAGTTATCCAACGACTAATAAGGTTATAGCAAAGAAACAGTGAAATGTTTGGCAGTTGCTCTCCTCACATTACCTTGTTTTGACATTTCACTACAGTTAGGTGCTGCCATACAGCGATAGATAAAACTTATTGCCCATTTATGACTTAGATGTAAACATTGCACATGACATCCATTCATTTCAGAATAAATATACATTTCTCAAAGAGGCACTGCATATAAATGTTCAGGCACGTTGACTACGTTGACGAATGTGGCGCGGGTACTGAACCTAAAAAACATGGTTTAGTGGAATCTATTTCTGGAAGCAGATCGTGGTACTGATTTGTCTTTAAAATGTTCTGAATGCAAAATGTTCGATATCTTTTCACGTGACATTGAAATAAAGATTTGGAATAGGATGGCTATCCAGTTCATTGGCGAAATCTCCGTACGTAATTATGTCGCTAGTATCTACCAACATTCGCATAGTATCAGCCAAAACACATACTACGAGCTACCAAACTTTAGACCCATGGTGACGTCGCGTCTGCGCAGGCTTCTTTAGTAGCCTTGGATATAGCATTGTTTTAAAGCACGCTTGGGCAAGTTGGAAATACTTGACATGCACACGCGTTGACATGCGAACAACCCCCAATTCAACAAACACATATCATTTTATCACAACAACTTCTAATGGATTAGCTTCTGATTAATTATAAGTAAATGTTTAGTTAGAAATGATAAAGTCAGGCTATTTAGCGCTTGACGTTTCCTAAAAATGTGTGAGGACTCTTAGATTCTCAACTCAAGCGAGGAATATGTCATGCCCACGACATTACATTTGGAAGCCAAAACTGGGGTGTCACATATAAATGAACGTTCTCGTATGGGGGAGGGATCAGGTTTTGCAAGAAATTTTCCTGTTCGAATAGATTTACCTAAATGCTGTTAAACGCGGCTGTGCAAGTTCCGAACGTTGGAATGATGTATGATGCCCCACATGTATGATGCCCCACGTGCATGATGCCCCACACGAGGCACAAGTAAGCTCACAACAGTCGACTGGCAGCACTTAGGTAGGCCAGCTTTATGTTTGAAGAAGGAAGTTACTAAGAAGGAATTTACCAGTATAATCCTAGGGTCTAAAAGTGGATATAATTTTGATAGGAGGCTGCTTAAATCACAATTGAGGCTTTCAGAATCCGAGCCAAACTACGGTAGAACAAAACACTGTTTGAGCTACGGAACGTCAAGGGGTCTGTGGAATGAAAGATCCCTAGAATTGAGAAACACGCGAGTCTATAAATGAATGTTCCTCCAGGGAAAACCGTTGGTCCCGAATTACCTTTTTAAATACTTAATTCCAGCACGGAAGAATTGATGAGTTGAGCTTAGATTGTATATCCTAAAGTTGCCCGCCGATATTAAACTAAGCTTGAGTGACTCCGGAATCAACTGATAAAACTTGTGCCCAGCCCCGTATAAGCAGGTTTTTGGTACACCTAAGTGAATAAACGATCACCTTTTTGGATGAGGACGTCCAGTAAGAAAACTTTGCTGTCTGACTACTCTTCCAAGATAGATCCAATGCTTGGGTGCTTACTAGTAGAAAAGGAGTGAAACAGCTAGAAACCTGTCCTTAAAAACAAGGTTGGTTGTATCATGCCGTCATATTTAGTCTCCTTTTGAAACTTGGCAAGACAACTTTATTTGACGTTCTTACCAGAAACCATGGCCATGCATCCCGCAAGATGGTATACGCTGCATCAGCTTCCACAAGAAGCTAGCAAAAGCTGAGCTATATATGAGTTCTTGAAAACATGCAAGTCCTACTCCATTTTCCCATTTTTTCGCTTCAACTTATGTAAGAAAACGTTGCGCCCGTCAAAACCTCACAAAGCACGCAATCTGAGCTCTTAGACTATGAACTCAACGAGAAGACTAAAATAACTGCATGCCTTACAGAGCAGCTCATTGAACTGTGTGACCGCCGTCAGCACACCTTCTGCCGTTTTTTAGTTTCATTTCTTCAAGTTTCATGATCAGGATGTCTTAAATGTCTTCACCCAAAAGTGCAAAAACACCCATCGTTAGAAGCTTAATCAGCTTGGCATTTACAATGCGTTCCTGCGACGTCATCTTGATCGTGTCATTCATGACTCGTCATCTAGAATTACTCCTTACCGTGCTAAAACGCCTTTAATTTTTGGACTTGATTTTAAGCTTCCGGTGTGGTGACTTGACTTATTACGTTACTGCCTCACGTTTGAAAAACTTGTTTACATTTTGTCTGACCTTTCTCTTTGCGATGGTGCACGCCTTTGACGGCGTCAAACATAGCCTTGTTTCCATTTTTCAAAGATATTTTAATGCACATGAGCCTTGAAAAGTTTTCTCTCCCATCTTGTTTCGTCGTGACCTTTCTCTTCTCAGAGGAAACTCCGTCTGACAAGAAGAATGACATTTCGAAACCTGAGAACGGTAGATGTGTGGCAATTTTGCATCGTTCTTCATGCGTAGAGAAAATGGTAACGATTTTGACAGATCTTTCAAAGTTCACTGAAGTTTTTGATCCCATGTTAAAACTATACGTCATGTAGAAGACAAAATTAATAGGCTTTGTCCAAATTGAAATCACTGATGAGATGCGATTCACATGTCTCAAATGGACTGTGCTGTGTGCTGGATGTCTCATGTGCTAGAATCTCCATCTTCTTCGCTGTCTAAACGATATCTTCTTTTCGAACGACCGCAAGCAAATAAGTTGTCATTGCAGGAGTTATTTTTTCCACAGGTAACTTATGACGTAACAAATTATGGCAGTAAAAATGTTGAGAAACATATTGATACGTCCCTCAAATCAAGTTGCTCTCCGTTCTCCTGGTTTTTATCCGAGGAATGAAACTAATACTACTATCTTCACCACTGAGTGTTAAAACATAGTAATTTCATGACAGTATTATGAGCATAACAAATTATGAACACCAATAATTTGATGCCGCATTTTTCAATTCCCTCCACAAAACTTTTAAAACAAACCAAAGGAATGCAATAACAAAATAAAACAGGAAGTGCAACAAGCATAAAACACTCAAACAAAAAAAACCTTGGACCCCTACACATCAGCCCATCACCAAGCTAAACACAGCATACATACTTCTGTCTTCTGTTAAGGTGGGGTCAGGGAAAACAAACATTTGGTCACTGCTACAAAATACCAATGCTTATTTCCATGAAAGTAGCCTATGCCTAACCTAAAGAGGCCTTGCATCATCTTATCCTGTATAACCTGTTTGTATCACAGTAGCAGTTGTGAGTTACTGATTCTTGCACAACTCCCATTGCCACCTGCCATGCACTTGACCAACTTAACCTAGCTTAAAGTAGCCCATATGATGAACATCATCTCAACTCACCTATCTGTTGACGGCAGCACTTGTGATAAAAATACGATATTTAAAGCTAGTTTTTGGCTGGTTCCAACTTGCAGTTCTAATCAGTTCATTCGTGTATGCTTGATGACATCAGACAAAGCTGACAACACACAGATCAAAACACTTTAAATCACTTTGAGCAACTTATCTTGATTGTCGTGGTAACCTATGTCAAGGGCAATGATGGGATATTCCACAAAACATCTCTCTTCTCCAAAAATGACACAACTTTTAGATGATCATGCCAGTATGTGTTGTCTTTTCAGCTGCAGTAAATGCACCCATTCGGGCTTGTTTATTCATGGTTATGACAAAGTTTGATATGTTGGCTTCATATCTGAAATGGGTTCGTCTGACTTTGTTACGTAGCAATATTTAACTCATATTATAATTGCTATGCAGCTTAGAGTATCCCTGTGTTAAAAATATAGTGCATATATACAGTACAGCCATTTGCCGGTCAGCAAACTATGACAACTATAGGATACATGTGGTTAAAGCAGTCATAAGGGACCACTTTAGGAAATTTGGGGCGAATAACCAAGAATATGGAGCAAAATAAGCCCACTGCACGCCTCGTGACATCATAATTTGTCTTATGGCAAAACTCGAGGCCCTAAAACAAAAAATGGCTAACTCTGGTTACCAATCATGTGTTGAACGCAGGTAAGGTAAGCAATTGCTTGGTCCACAGGAGACTCACTGGCTTTTTCCTGCTCCCCTCAAAACCAAAATGCAGTACATTTTGCATGGTCTGCTGGCAGACAGTCATCCGGTTCACTTCCCAAGCATAAATATCAATCATGTCCACCGACCTTCGAAATTAAAATGCGAGACAAGTAAGAGGTGTGCATGACAAACATTTCCAGAGGGCAGAACGTCGCCATCCTACACTTCTGTATAAGCTGCGTCAGGATTGTCCCAAGACTCTATATGGCAGCATTTATGCTAATGCTAATGCCTTGCCAGGTGGGCTGGTGAATCAGGCACTTGAAAGGCTTGGATTTGTCATTATTGAGCACCGCCATGAACCAAGAAAACGGCTAACCGAAGGTTTAAGAGGGCAAAAATGGCGGTAGAAATTAGTTCCATGCTTCAAATTGTCCCCTTCATTCCCTGTGAATTGTTCACGCTTGGGTGCATATCAAACATGTTTGGGCGGCTGGCGAATTAATCCAATTTATGTATTAAATGTGTACATGTTTGCAGTTGGAGCATCTTGCATAGCGATTGGTCAGAATTTTAAGCAGCAGATGGTGTCTCTAAAGGCAATCGAAAAGGAAGGAAGAATGAAGTGGCATCACA